ACTGTGTGTAGGATTTTACCACATTCATATAGAAATATTGGGCAAAAAGCTATACGTCCCAGCAAAGCTGCCTAAAAACCTGGCTATGACCTTTTCATTATGTGTAATGACTTTTAAAGACACATAGATACTTCAATTTAAAACAAGCCAGAAGATGTTCTTTGACTTGTTTTGGAAAGTCACCTTTCAGCTCTTGTCTTACTTAATCAGATGTCTGGCAACTTTTTTCTTGTGCAATACAAAAGCCACCAAAATGTATGTATTTTCTGCTTTACAGGTAGGGCAGATTCTATTTGAAGGCAAGAAGAAGAAGAAGAAGAAGAAGAAGAACTGTGGTGAACTTTAATTTTTTTTATTGTGTATGTCTTTGGTTCATGAACCAATAAAGTTGTGGTAAGCTGTTTAGGATAAGGCTACGTATATATATACATATATATATACACGTATATATATATATATACACATATATATATATATATATACACACACATGCACACAAATATATATATATATATATATATCTGTATTTATCCATAGGAAGAAAAAGGAAACTGTGCCTTTCACAAGATCAGGAACATATTAATGCTATTAATCTTAGCATTGTTTCTCTAAGCCTGGACTGATATTTTACTGATTTCTACCAATCCAGAAGTTATTCAGGTTTGAATAACTTAGCATTTGAATTTTTGAACTAACACTTTAAAGAGTAGTATATACTGAAAAATGTATTTTTCTGGAATAACAATGAATACTGTTCAAAGCATATGATACAGATTTTGGCATGTTTGCATCTGGCAAATATAAGCAATATATGATGACATTGATTTTAAGACTAAACATTGTGAATTAATTTTTTTGAGATTGGGTTTATCACTGGCATTGGAATTCAAGATAAAGAATGTATCTTTTTTTTCTTTTTTTTTTTTTTTTTTGGTGGTTGCTGTACCATTAAATTTACTACCCATTGGTTATTTTAGGACATGTTGTAAAGTGTCAAGGAGTTGAGAAAATGCCTGAGCTAAGACAACAAATACCACAAAACTATGATGATAAATATTCTGTCTGTATTTTTTATTTTTGTTTTTTAGTTATTTTGGCCCCTCTACTGAAAATCTGAGTGCTGCTTAACTATGCAGTAGAAGTAGCAGTTGGGTTTTTTCTTTTTGTCTCCCATAGCAGAAATGAAGTGACATCCAGCTTTTCTGTTGGCTTTGCTGCTTAGGAGTGCTTAGTATGTGTGCACATGCATATAAATAATTCCCTCCTTATGTAGTTTTTGCCAAAGTGCCCTCATTTGAGTGACATTTTTGCTCCATTTACATCAATGTTAAAATTTCCATTAACTTCCCTAGGGCTGGGATTCCACCTGTTTTGTCTAAGTTCATCACAGTTCACCATGTATTTAAAAGCATTTATATTTTAATTGCTTCAGTGGAATGCAATTGTCGTGACCGGCAAATCTTGCAGAGGGCAGAAAGGATCATCTGGCAAGGAACAATGCCACATAAGGGCTTACTCAACAGAACAGAAATACTGAGCGCTACATTCAGCAAGAAATTGCGTGGTAAGGGGCATTACAAATTAATCTCCTTTTACAAAACTTTTTTCAAGTAGGATACTGCTGCTGCTTTTAAAGAGTTTTGTCCAAGTTTACAGCTTCATTCCTGCATATGTGTTGTTGTAAGCAACAGTTTAAAATGTGGGTCTAACAAGATGGAGACAAATCTGTTAACACCACACAGAGAGCAAATTATGCAACTTGGCTGGTTTGGATGTCTAATCATGACAAAAAAAAGTAACAAAGGGTGAAAGTGAGTGTTAGCAATAAAGAAAAGTTTTCTACAAAAAAGTCAGTGCTTTAGCCCCCCAATTCTCTCACCTTTTCCCTCTGCATCTTGCCTGCAACTGCAGCTGTAGTAAAAGCTGTTCAGTGGAGCAGTTTCGCCTTGGCACAGGAGATGGAACGTTCTCTGCATGTCTGTGCTAAGTATGGCTTCAAACCTAAACTTCTCTACTTTCTGCTTCTTGGTGTATTTTCCTTGACTCTTTCCTGGATCCAGGTCTAATTCTGTCTTCTGCGTACTTTAGCTAAACTCTGAGATAGATGGAAAAATATGTTGCTGCAAAGACAAGATGGGATATCATCCATTGGCTGCTGCTGCTTCAGCTTATCAGTTTTTTCAGTACTTCCCAAATTTAAAGCAGATAAGACAATGTATAGACATTTTCTCTGGAGTGCATCAGTAACTGCAGGTGAGGAAGTGTTTGGGATTCCTATGATGTTACTGGGAACAACAGATGTGTCACCAGCTGTGGCTTTGTTTCCTATATTATGGGAGGCAGAGAGAAACCATGTTTTGGAGGTCATGACAGAGGTTTTTAAACAGTAAGGTTTTTCTTTTTTCCAATTTTCATGTCACTAGTCATTCAAACTATTTTTAATAATGTGAACAGTGTTGTCCATAAATACGTATGACGGCAGTCCCTAATGTGGTGCTTCAAAACTAGTATAAATCCCTGTAATTCCTTTCATGTATGCAAACTGGAATAATCCTGTTAGGTTGAAGATCTGGCCCAGAGTACAGGAAGTGTATGTCTTAGTCAGGGAACATAGTAGCAGTTTCTAATTCTTCTACTTACTGCTTTCATGGAGATGTGAAGTGCTTTCTAAAGTTGACATGGTCCAAATAAGGTATTTAGTTTTCTATTTGTAGTGTCAATATTTTGCAAGGGGAGCAACATCCTTGCTTCACAGGAAATAAAGACTGTATTTGGGTCTGGACCTTGAAGCATTACTGAAATTATAAGAGGCAGAAATATTTCTTTAAAGGATAAACTGATTGTTTGTGCAAACTCTTATGCAATTAAAATGCTTAGCTACTTCAGAGCTTATATTTGATTGAAATTAATGAGACTGTTTATATTCATGTAAAGTAGATGAATCCAGGTATTTAGAACATGTAAAATGAAGTAAAAAAAAAATTAGAATTTTGTAGCTTGAAAGAGCAATGAGAAATGCAGTTCTTCTCAAATTTAAATAAAAAAGAAGATGATGCCTTTTATTATGGGCAGAGCTTTTACAAAGGGTCTTTCAACTGAGGATCTAACAACCCTTAAACATAGAATTAGGGCTCAACATTGAGGCCTTTATCAAATGAACAGTCTGAAGAAGAATGCTCCGATGATTTGTCAGCTGTGGGATTTGGCTCCTGCACCTCACCCGGAGAGGTAAGACAGCTTTACTTTCTATAATTTTCAGAATGAGCAAGCAAGAAGTGTGACTTGCCTAAAGTTACACCACAAGCCTGTGGCAAAGCCGTGGAATAAAACACCCCAGCAGATGTGTACGTAAGCTGCAATTTCATCTTTCTCTCATGATTCTAAGTTGGGAAGAACAACAACTGTTTTGAAATTCAAACCAGGAAGATAATCATGTCTTTCCATGTGATTTGTTGGTTATCCTGGCTAGTTATCCTGATTGAAATGAGGAAACACTGAGGAAACAAAATCTGCTGAGTGGGTGGGAGGATTTTGGGTATGGGAGCTGGGGGTAGAAGAAAGTTTACCCTATATATTTTCTGATCTGAAGATCAATTTGCTAAACTGATATTAAACTGATAAATTTTCAGATGACCACCTTCCTTTTTTTCTCCCATCGGAATAATTCAACTAGAAAAAGGGAAAATATGTCCTGGATATAAATAAATAAATAAATAAATAAATAAATTATATACATAAGGTCTTCTCTCTGTGTTCTCTATATCTGTTTCTAGCTGGTTTACTTTTCTCTGTCCTATCTGGTTCACATCTTTAAAGTGCAATACAGAAAACTGCCACAAGCACACTTGGAGAACCTGACAAAAGTGCAGTTTGGCAAATTCAGCTAAGAGCCAGTGGCAGTGCTTAGTCTCACCATTTCATCACTGACAGATGATATTACAAGTGCAAGAACATTCAGGTTTGTAAACAATAGATTTTAAAAGGCAAGACAAATTTCTGTAATTCACTGTGCATTATGGCATCAGTGCCATAAATAGGTGTACTCTCTTGGTTGCTTGCATGGTTGATTTTTAAATTTGTGATTAAGTATATAAAAGTATATAAAGTATGCTTACATTTAAAAGATAAAAGCTAGTTTCTGCCAATGTAATAATGTACATAAGTGGTTCTTCACAGCTAGAAAACAGATACTCTTTCATTCATGTATTCATACCATGGCTGTCTAATTTATGGAACTGTTGAGAGGGTGCTTTTAGAGAGGTAGGGGGAAGGAGAAAAAAAACACAAACATTTTTTACATTATTACCTGACTTGGGATGTACACGTATAATTATGTAAAATCTGTGCTGGGTGGCTGTTTGTTCTTTCTTGCAGAGTATTCTGCGCTCACTGAGTGGGAGGGTCACACTGTGAGACTAATAAGGACAGAGCTGCATCCCCCTCTACCACTCTTTGGAGACTCACTCCAGCAACTCCTCGGCACTACAGCAGCTTTGTACAGGCATTTTCAGTGCTTCTGGGGGACACACCAATAAAAAAAATAAAGGTAAGCCACTCACCATTTGTAGTCAGTTATCTAAACATATTACGTGTGCACACTCACACACAGTACACTATTCCCGGCTTGTTTTGTGGTGTTTGTGTTCAGGGGTTTTTGGTTTTGAGGTCCAACATTGTCATTTAAGCTTATCATTGCTAATATTAACTATGTCTTATATAAACATTATCTATACCGTAAGTTTTTAACGTACTGCATGCAATCAGCCTGTGCTATAGTATTCTGCTCATGATTGTGTAAATACGCTGCATATGCTAGTGGTTGACTATAGGTGCATGCCAAGATATGCAAATAAAAACAGCCCTGCTAAATGAGCAGTGATTCACAAAACTGATTAAACTGTTGCGAATTGCCACTATGCTGATTGTGCATATATTTACATGTAAAAACCTACCTCGCAATTCGCACGCGTGCCGGGCGGCCTGCGCGCAGTTGGTGGGAGCGCGCTGGTGAGCGAGCGGCGGCAGGGCGGGCAGCGCGCTGGGGAGGGGGCACGGCGCCGGCCGCGGCGCTCGGCCGGAGCGCGGGGGCGCCGCGGGCCCATCCCGGCCCGACGGCCGATCGCCGCCCCGGCCCGCGGCCGCCCCTCACCTGCCGCCCCGGCGCAGGTGCCCCGCGGCACCGGGGCTGCCCCGCTCCGCCCGGGGCTGCGGAGGGAGCGGCGGCGGGCGCCCGCCCCTCGCTCGCTCTCCGGGCGCACCGGGCTCCCGGCGCCGCCGGCAGGGCCGGGGGCCGGGCGAGGCGCGGAGCCGGGACCGGAGAGCGGCTCCGGCCGCGGGGCGGGGGCGCTGCCCGGCGCCAGCCCCGCCGCGCCGGGCGCTGCCCGCCTGCCTTCCCGCCCGGCTGTTGAACGCTCCCTCCGGGAACGCGGCTCGATCCAAGGGAAGCGAGGCTGCCGGCACTGCCGCGTTACAGTCCGTGCTGCCGAGGGCTCGGGTCGCTCCGGTGCGCGGCTGTGCGAGGGAGCGGCGCCTCCTGGAGCGGCCGGCGGGAGGGGACCCGAGCCCGGAGGTGCGGCGGCAGTGACCGGGTGGCGGTGTTGGTGATCAGAGCCCTTCAGAAAACCAGAGCTCCGGAGCGGCAGCCCTACTGAATTCCCGATGCCTGCTTGTAAAGCAGGTGCAGGAAATGAAATGATAATTTATTTGAACATGCATTCGCTTTGCTGCTGGTGGGAAGACTAGAAAAGTTAATCGTGATGTAGTTGCTATCAGTACGTTACAGAATAGCTTTGATGATGAATAAGGTGCCTTGCGAAAATAATTATAAAAATTGCATCTTAGATATGCGATTTCCTTTTCTTACAGAAGATGTGACTAGAAAAATAGTAGACATTTCATGTGTTTCATTAAATTAGTGTGTATTTATACATTGCAGTTGGCTTGGAAATAAGCTTTTGTCTTCTAATGAGAGTACCAGTTTATGTTGTTGAAGCCTGTACTTTTGTGAGATTTAAACTAAAAATTCAATATAGGCTGCTCTAGACACTTTGCAAGGTGAAGAAACATTGTATTTTGGTTTCTTTTGTGGATGAATTAAAACAATTGCATGTTGCCTTTGTTCCATTTGTAGACTACTTCAGCAGTCACTGTAAGTGTTGTGATACCAAACAGTTTAGCTAATGTTGAATGAATGAATGTTGAAAAGTCATTTGGGGAGAAGTGTAAAAGACAATTAGTAACTACTAATGAAATGAACATTCAGTGCCTTTGCAGTAAATATCTCCAAGTTAGTATTTCTAAGGTGTTACTTCTGAGTTTATAATAAAGAACTAAAAAGGAGTATACTGATCATTTCTTTCCAAACTGGCATAAATCTTTTTTTGTAGAGCCTTAAACAGATAAATTATACATTTGCATATGACTAGCAATTTCCTCTTCACAGTTAAGAAGTTCTTGTTTGTAGTATTCTGACAAGGTGATAAGAATAATACAAGTGAGAAGAATAATACAAGATTGTTCTGAATATGCTTATTTTTTTGTTTCAGATTTATAGCTGTTTGTTCACATGTGTCCAGGAGGAGATGAAGTACATTGGATCCTGCATAGTTTGGCTTTGTATGGCAGTCTTCCTCCTTCCTGTTTCTACTTCTGTGGCTGTCAGTGACCAGACAGGTACTTCCATTTTTCATGCCCATCACAGACCAAAGGCGTAAATCTCAGTACTGAAAATTTTTTAGCAAATAACAAGAGCACATAGAAAATAAACAATATGAACAGATACAATTATACAAGGTTGTTTTAAATCTCTTTTCTGAAATGAACTAAGTTTGAAGCAGCTCCAGAGCAGCCTTTCTGCTTCCTGTGCATGGAAGATTCATGTTTGGTGGTAATTGTAGTTCCTAGGAGTATCATACAAAGCAAGATTATAAATCAGAGTTTGCAAAACTTTTGTGAACAAAATCATGTGGCTTCATTACAGAAGAGCAGTTATCACATTGACCTAAACAATCTAATGCTCATGTTAACTGCATCTATACTTAATCCTAAACTGGGTCATATGTTTCACACAGAGTGAAAAAAAATCCCTTTTTCCTAAGAAAATGGGGGAAAGAAATAGGAGGATATTGTTTAACTTAAAAGCTGTTACCTGTCTTCTGCAAATTTTCTAATATTTCTCTATTTTCCTCTTTTTCTTACTTCCACATGTTATCTAGTGTTCTCACTTAAACTCTACATTAACCCTCCAGAATGTGGTAAATTCTGTCTGAAAGACACAACATATGTGCTTGTCAAATATGGAGCATCAGTTTTCTAGAATTTCTCAGCAAGTAGTTCAACTTATTATAATTTTCATACACCTATTAGCAAGGAAAACATGTTTATTGCTCTTTAAATTGAGTTGGTTTTTTTTTTCTTAAAAATAAAATTAACTCTTGGTAACATTGTTCCTTTCCAGAAATCTTATTAAAGATACTAAAAACTACAAACACACAACAACTTTGAATATTAGCAACTCATTTGTAACTCAGGCCCAAGGAATTTAAAAGTCCATGACTAGGAAAATAATCGTTTTACTACCCCTGGAAAATATAAGCAGTAATAATGAATAAATAATAAGTGTAATGTGTGGGCTCTGAGGTAATAATAATGCATCGTGAAGAGCCAGAATTTAAGTCAAAGTCTTTTCCCCTTATATTTTTAGGGCAGTGAGGCTAAGTGCTCTGCTGATGAATTATTCTTAACCCCTCTGAGAGAGCAAGCCTACATCATTGATGTGAAAACATTCTGTCTGAAAAAAGAAAAATAGGTTTTATTCTGTCATTGCTAGGTAGTGGGTTGCAGAAGAGAAGTTTTTAAAGTGCTAAAATGGTGCAAGTACAGAAGGTTCCTTAGCAATATAGATTGAAAAATGTTAAAATTCCAGGAAGTGTTGCTTCTTTTCTTTTATATTTTTTTTCCTTATGAAATGATGCCTTAGTAAATGTTGGGCCAGCCACAGAAGATGTGGCAGATACACAGAACTGTGAATAAACAGTTTATCTGAACTGTGTATTGCGTTCTGTTAGAAGTTTGTAGCTAAGCAGCCAATGGTAAAGTTGCAGTTTTCCTTAGCATGATTGCCACAAATAGATCAAATATGGGTCCAATTGAGCTGCTAGGAAGAAAAGGAGAGGTTGAACCTCTCCTGTGAATAACTGAGGGTGTGCACTTGAAAGAGGCTTCTTTAGTTTGTGGAGTTACAGGCAGATGGTGAGGAATAACAAGCTGCTAGCTGCCAGCTTGAGCAGCTCTGCCAACAGCAGGTGTGTGAGTTAAGCCCAGATATAAACTCCAGTTGATAAGAGAAAAGAGACTCTACTAGACTTTGTAGGGATGGTTACCGTTGTAAAAAGAAATGCGAGTTATAGACCAGAAAGCAGGAGTTGGGAAAGAATGGACTCAGGAGCAGAGCAGTGGTAAAAGTGGTACAGATCCTTCTGCCAGCCGTTTGTTGCTTTGCTCTGTTCAGCTGAACCAAACCCTCCATGCAGCAAAGTTGTCTTGTTCCATTTTGTAATTTGTATGCAGGTGAATCTGTTACAAATTTGAAATCTGCTTGCTTCATGGAGAGAGCAATATCTAAAGGTTTTGGGGTTTATTTTTCCTATCTTGCACTCAGTTGTTCTTTCTGGGGCCTTTGTTCCCTCCCATGTACAAGTTCTGTTTAAATCAGCATCTGTGCTTCAATATCTGCCTAGACAATCTTTCTGGTTTTCTTCCTTCAACAGCATTTATTTCTCTGGGCTAATATTGAAGCTTTTCCAGCAATGCGTGTTTAGGTGGAATCTGAGATTAGTTTATTACATCTTAAAATTTCTCACCTACTTGAATCTAAAGGAATGGCCTCAAATACATAGAAAAGTGTAGACTAGAATTAATTTGAGGATAGTGAAAGAAAGACATGTTTTAGGGGAAGGATTGACTTGTGTGCATATGTAAGGGAAAGCTTTATGAGCAGGCATGCTGAATATACTTTGACTTATTCATTGGGCCAATATTGTAGTAAATAAATACCAGTGTTGACAGAAGAGTCAGAAGCTGAGAGGGTATGCTGGATCTTCTTGGAGCAGTCATCCTTAGGCTCTGAGGTGCCAGTAAGCATTAGATTCACATAGAGGATTTCTTTCAGTTCTCATGTTTTGATATGATTAGTGTTCATTAGAAGGAAGCACTCTCTTCTCATGATGGAGTATAGCAAATCTGAGGGGAGGGATTTCAGGAGTTTTCCACAGGCACATTTTTGATCTCATTGCAAGCATACTTTCTTCATGTTGTCAACTTATTGGGAATATTGGGTTTGAGTGTGGACGTTAGCTCATCCTGTAGTGATACATGAAGTTCAAATTTTATCATTCCTGACAGCTTTATATTAAGAATATTACTATTCTGTCTCATTCCAGATCATTGCTTCTTTTTCAACTTTCTTTTACAATTAGAGCTTTTTAAAGCCACTTGCTGATCCATGAAAAGTGTAGTATAAACAAAGTGCTATCAGGGACTATCAAGCATGGTGAATTTTCCTTGTCTTTTGATATGGAATGTGCTGTGAAAAGTATTGGTTATGGATTGTGATTTTAGATAGACACTTTAGCCCAAATACAGTGAGTGAGTTCAAGTATACAAATCAGTTCAGCTTTTTGATTTTAATCTTTTAGTGCAGCTAGATACTTCTCCAGATCAATATAATGACCCTACAGTATCTCTCATATACAATGTCTTCATATTCCTGATATTCCCATCTGACCTGGCCTTGAATGTTTCCAGGGATGGGTCATCTGCCACCTCTCTGGGCAACCTATTCCAGTGTTTCACTGCCATTGTTGTAAAGTCTAGTCTAAATCTAACTTATTTTATTTAAAACCGTTACTCCTTGTCCTGTCACAACAGGTCCTGATAAAAAGTCTTTACCCATCTTTCTTACAGGGCAACTGGCTAGAATGCTGGAGTAAGGTCCTCCTGGAGCCTTTTCTTCTCCAGGCTGAAAACCCTAATTCTCAGGAGAGCTGCCCCAGTTCTCTGATATTTTTTTTTTTTTTTTTTTTTTTTTTTTTTTTTTTTTTTTTTTTTTTGTGTGTGACCTTCTTTTGCATCTATTCCAGCAGGTCCACATCTTTCTTGTTTTGGAGCCCTTTCTTGTGTTGGAGTTGGATGCAGTAGTGAGGGTGGGGGTTTTTCATGACAGCTGATGGGCAGAATCACTTCTCTTGATCTGCTAGCCATGCTTCTTTAGATGTAGCCCAGGATATGACTGACTTTCTGGGATGTGAGCATGCATTGTTGGTTGATCTCCATATTTTCATCCATCAGTCCTCTCAAAGCCTTCTTGTCAGGGTTGCTCTCAATTCCTTCAACTCCCAGCCTGTTTTGATACTGAGCATTGCCCTGACCCTTGTGCAGCATCTCACGAGGTTGTTGAACCTCACAAGATTCCCATGAGCCCAATCTCAAGCTTGTCCAGGTCCCTCTGGATGACATCCTGTCCTTCAAGTGTGTCAACTGTACCACTCATCTTAGTGTCATCTACAAATGTGCTGAGGGTGCACTCAATCCCTTCATCTATGTCATTAATTAATTAAATAGCATTGATCCCAAATGGGACACTACTTACCACTGATTTCCATCTGGACATTGAGGAGCTGACCATTCCCCTCTAGATATGACTGTCCAAACAATTCGTCATTCTCTAAGCAGTCCACACATCAAATCCCAGCCTCTACAATTCAGAAAGATTGTGGGGACCATGTCAAAGGCCTTGCAGAAATCTGGATGACATCAACTTGTCCATTCCTTTGTCCACTGATGCAGTCAATCCATAGCCACTCAATGGCTCACAAGGTCACTGAGTGAGTCATGCAAGACTTGCCCTTGGTGAAGTGGCACTGGTTGTCCCATGTAATATGAAGTCCTGCTTGTTACTACTTACTCTTCTTCATGGGAGAATATAGTTCTCCAGGGAGCCTAGCTTGAGTATCCTAATCCTTGAGATCTGTTGCTTGAATTTGTTATTTCTGCCTGCCAATGTTGCTACGTTACTTCATAACCATCTAAATAGTCACCAGACTTGAAGCTGACTTCTTTACTATATCATGTTTTCGTCATTCTTCCCACCCTTGTCTTAATTGACATATACATTGTAATGTAATATAATCTTCTTTACAGAGTAAAATAACAGAATACAAAAACATCACATCTTCTTTCCTGGTGCCTATATACTTGAGGCTACAGATATGTAAGAAATCTGAATTCTTGACCTTGAAAAGAAGCCAGCTGGATCTGCTTATCTTCATTAGGAATATGTGGTGGACTCACTGGATATCATTGCTGATATTTGCAAGTGTGTGGCTAGCTCTGAAGGAGTTGCCTATGTGTGTTTATGAAGCCTGATCCAGTAAGAGTATGAGAAAAATCTTGGGTAATATGTGTTTCTGCCTGAAGCTTGAATCAACACAGGATATGGGTATACATTAGGTTGGGCTTTGCTGTTTGACCATATTCATTGAGATGGTCATGGCAGTTTCAGTGCCTTTGCAATGTGCATGTCAGTGGTGGTAGATGGCAGCTAAAAACTTCACCTGAATGTGAAGTTTAATTATAAACATGGGTACTCATGAAGTGAATCTAGCCATTACAGGTTTCATTAATCTGCAGAAGCCAAGACTGCCCATTAGAAGTTACAGTTCCCACTCAGGAAGTGCACACAAGAGAAGTCTGTAAGAGGGAGACTGAAGCACATGCCATAGTCTCTTCTGTCCGCATTTGAATGGAATGGAAAGCTGAGCACAGTGCCTAGATGGAAGCTGCAGTGTGCTTCAACAGGTGTCCTGATCATTCCAGGAATTTGGAACGTGCATGTTGCAACGATATGTTTAGATGCAATGCCTTTTTTTTTCTTTTTTTTTTTTTTCATTATGTTATTAGAAAACAAAAAAAATTTCTTACTAATCTTAGCAGTGAGAGAGAAGACAAGGATCTATGATGTACCTGCTTGGTCTGAATAAATTAATATTTTCAAGATTATTGGATGGATTTTATATCAATAAGCTCATAGCTAGAACTCATTGATTTATAAAGACCAAGGCCAAATTTTTTGCATAGATAGACTCATTGATTTAAAGATGTTAACTTGACCTATGATACCACTGGTTTAATATGAATTTTTTTAGTTCAGTCCACACAGATATGCAGTCCACACATGTGCAGAGCAATCTAGTGTATGAATGTAAGCTTCTTCTTACTTTCATGAATTTTATAGTAATGTATTTTAACAGGCCAGATAGGTTCATGGTTTCCCACTGGATTAGCAGTAAGGGTTTATCTTGTTCTTTTTCTTTCCTTAATATCTTAATGTAGACCTTGTCGTTCAGCTTCCAACATGTTGAAAGGGCAAATTGCCTGTTTTGTCTCAGGCTAAAGAAAATTTAAGGATCTGCTAGCAGTCTAAAAATCGTGGAAGAGGTTAACTATACAAGCTGTAACTGCAGAAAGAATTTTCATCACTCTATAATAATGAAAGTTGTCAGTCCTGGTATGGAGAGAGTTTGGTCTTGTTATTTGAGAGTTTTCCCCTAGCTCTATGGTAAAAGGAATAGTGCTGAACTGAAGGAGTGCACCAGCAGCATGCAGTAGAAGATTCACTGTAACTCTTTCAGTCTATCTGAGGATGCGGAATACAAATAAATAACTAACACTTAAATGGCCTGTCTATGCTGTGACTGTTATGCCACTGATAAAAATAGGTCCAGTCTGTGGCATGTGAGGAATCATTGCTATCATCTGGATAACACAAAAATTAAGGCTTGAGTCTTTATTTAGACTTAGAAGAAAATGGCTGTGGGGAATAAACTCAAACTTTCTAGTCTTTCACTGCTTATGTAAGCTAATGCTGAAAAAAAAAAGCACACTTGTGTCCCAGGCTCTCTACAGCTTACATCAGTTTAGGGTAAAATCAGCAATAAATGCTCTTTGTCTGTTCTTCTAAGTACTATCAAGAATTTAACCAAAAAGAGAATCTGCCTTGAAATTTATTGAATATTTTTGAAAAAGCCCTTTAGAAAACATGTAGATTTAAGAAAAAACATCTGTCCATATATGTCTGACATTCTTCTGTGACTTCAGCCATAAATGGCTTCCTTTACACCAGGTTATTTCTTAGAGCTATAGCTATGTAAATGTTCCCTAACAACATTCATTGTTTTAGAGTGGCTGTGTATAGAATTCTGTACTTTAATAATCTGTATTTGATTGAAAGTTGAGGTTTGTAAACTAAAGGGCACCTAAGGTGAGCCTGTTTCTGTCCCATGTGTGTATATATCAACTGGTGTATTGAAATTGCTATGTTACTGTGTAGTTCCAGCAAATGCTTTTCTCACTGTATAAAACTTCCTGCTAACCAAGAATGATGAAAGATTTCACTTCAGAGTTTTCAACATGAATATTCTTTACAGTTCAGCGTCTTTTCTGGGGAATGGGAATTTACAGAGTTGTCATGCATACATTTAATCTCATTTACTATGAAACTCTATCTGTACAGGGAAAAACATGCATATCCATGTATTTATGGATCTATGTGAGGGGAAAAAAAATGTATTCTCTAAGACCCTTAGAAGTAAATTAATTTATCTGTGATGTTACTTGTAGTAGTCAATTGTTATTTTACATGCGAAGCACATGGAAATTAATGAATCTTAAAAAAAAAAAAGGTATTTTGCCTGGTCTATTCTTTAAATATTTGACATAACTTACATTAACCATATTATCAGGAAGTGTCTTTATGTCTGTATTAGATGATATAATTTCACTTTTGCTAGTTATTTCCAATTAGCCATTCTTGGTCCAGATGAAATACTAAAATATATTTAATAACATTTAAGAGTTTTGAAGGATAATATGCTTTCTACATGACTACAGAATGAATGACAAATTTCATGTGCCTTAAGGTTACAAATATGGCTATTTTTAATAACAATGTTTGGTCTGGATGCTCTCATGAAACATTCAAATACAGATGATCTCCAGGTTAATGTTAGGACATTCCTTATTTTTTACATTGAACTAATGGTTCAGAAAGTGCCTTGACCTTCACTGTTCAGCAGCTTCAGATACACTTTGGACATCTTCTCAGTTGCATCAGCTCACAAATCTCTGTGCTTGATAAATTGACAGGCCAAATAGCATAACTTGGCATCTTTAATGTGCTAGGTTTTTTTTAGAATTTAGCAGGGATATTTGCAAAACTTGTTAAATAGCAAGCCTTATTTCTGACCCCTGCACAAAAGTGATATTTTCCTGTATTTCCTTCTTAAAAGTGGGCATTCCTGCATATCTATTAAAAAAGAGCATAAAGGACTTAATGCAAGTAAGAAGTAATAATAATTAATATTGCATATTAATAATACAATGTCTTATCTAAGGGTTCATGTAGATTTAACTTCAGTTTACCATGTTCCAAATTTTAGAACATTCTGTTTGCTTACCAAAATACTTTGGTCCAGACTTACTCTCCTACTTAATTTTTGTGCTTTTTTTCCCCCAAAATACAATATTGTTTCATATTCATGAATGGGGGAAAGTATTTTCTAGTAATACAGTGAGAAATACTAAAAAAACTTGGAACAGATATTACTGCTTTATAGAGTGTTGTAAATGGAAACAGCATGGTAAAAAAAATTAATGGTTTTCTTCTGGCTATATTGTTTATATGAACTTTAACCACAAACAGTTGAATTAAAATGTGATGCAAAATCTATTTGCTTATATATTGGAAGTGTAGTATAAAATCTGCTCTTGTTTAAATTTTGTAATTTGGTTTATTGCTGCTTTTCATATCCTAAAGCAACAAAGAGAAACATTCCTGTCAATATTACCATAACTGCTATGATAGTTCTTTCAATTCCTCTTAGTTTGATAATATTTTACCATAGATGCTAAACTGTGTTCTCTTGAAGGTGCTGTGTGTCCTTTAATGAAAACAGCTGCCCATCATCTCAAACAAATCAACAGAGACAGTCGTGGTGTATCAGGTAAATGACCAAGCTAATATGGATATCTGTATTAATTAGCTGGTAATGATTCCTGGATGTAATTATAGTCTGACTGAAGCTGGCTTTCAAACTGAAAGATTAGGACAGAATTCCATCCCCAGGCACCAAAAGCTGCTGCTGCTCTCAGAAAGGCGGCATTAAAATCAGAACATGTTTTTCCTCAAAAGTGTTGGTTCAAGTTTGGCAGCCACACTAATTTCCATGGTTTTTTCCAAGCACCCTGCATTCTTGTCAATTCAGATGAAAAAAGGCAAATTAAGTTTTCAGGTTTTAAAGTCATATACCAAGTGACTTTTGTATGAATAGTTCTAATAAAATGAATATTGAAAGTTTCTCTGACTTAAAGTTCTACTTTTCAGAATAGCTTGTCAGTCTATATTCTAGAAATGCTAATATGTTTGTATTCAAGTATGCTAAAATAATTATTTACTTATGGTTTTTAAATTTCATTATAATTGTATCATATTGTGTTCTATTTTACAGGGTTTGATCTGGCAGAAAGCTTTTCTTTAAGGCAAACATCTTGTGGTGGGGAAAAGATTTGCTTTAAACTGGGAAGTGCACCTCTCATTAGAGATACAAGGTAAGATCCTATTTTCATGCTTAGCTTTTAAAAGATAGAGCTCAGACTCAATGCTACTAATTAACTGAATCACTGAACATATATCCAAAGAATGCCCCAGAAAGCAGTATGGCTGTGTTTAGACTTTTTAAAGGTTTTTTTCTGTGGGAAGCATTTTGATTTTAGTGTGCTTTCCTTCTGGAATCTGAGAATACCTAGATAGTAAGTTAATTGTGAATAGCACTTTCTCAAATAATGATTCTAATACTGAAAATTCTACTGTTAATGCATTAATATTTATAAACCAAAGGAAACATATAACTTTCACGGTATGACAGGAAGTATTATACTAATCTCCCCACAGTGAAGTTGTCTGTTCTCTCTCTCACTACTGCTGGCAAGATTAAAAAGAGAGAGAGTATCACCATTTACTTGAATGTTATTTTTTTTATTTTCCCTGTATTCACATTTTGTCTCTGAGCAGCAACAGAGTAGTGGGCACTCAGTGTAGAGGAGAAAGTAGGCAAAATCCTGTTCTGGCACAGGGTGAAATGAAAAGCAGAGACTGCATGAAAAATCAAAAGGACAGTGAAAGAGAGAAAGGCACAATTGGATTGGATGGACTTCAGTTTGCATAGGGACAAGGAAATGTCAAGAAGCAGTTAGGAATGTAGTTTCAAGTTCCCTGAGCTCAGTGGAGAGAGAGGATCATCTCAGAGCTTCTTGGTTGAGATGTGCTCTGAGTCATGGGACTGTGGTTTCTGTACAGCGTGTTCCTGCGATGATGAGAGAAGCAACTGTATTCCCATGTCTTCAGGTTGGGTATTTTCTGTTGCAAGAGGTCAGGCTCCAGCTTGCCTAGTAAAAAAGCACACCTGGTCCTTGGACTTCCCCTTTGCTTGGATCCTGGGCATAGCACAGAGGGCCTGTGAGTAGCATGAGGCCAGGGGGAAGGAAGAAGAGAGTTGGAGGCACCCAGACACAAAACAAAGGGGTCTTTGTGAGAGGAGTGTGACTATGGAAAAAATTTATCTAGCAATTCAGAACAATTAGGTTCTCAGAGTTTTTCTGATATATTAGATAGTGTAAGTGAAAAATTTTATGCTTGTGTAATTCTGCAAAATTAAACTAATAACTTTTTTTTTAAATACAATGGATGGTAGCTATTGAAGGAAAATTAAAATTGACTGGGCAAAATAACTTGACACAAAGAGTGCTCTTCCTTTGTTAGACCTTTCCAGTATTGGCCAGATTGTCTTTAGAAGATTAACAGGAGATAGTAGGTACCACCCATAAATGTCTTTACTAAAATTATTTTGAGACATTTTTAGTAAGAAAACTTCCCTTTAAGAAAATAATTTTCCCTTTTTTTTACAAGCTTTTTTCCCAATTTATGGGAATTTGAGAGAACCATGAGACCATAGAAAGGTAGAAAATCAAGGCAATAAAAAAAGTGGAGCAATTTTACTTTAGCAATAAGAAGTAATGCTAAGAAATGTATCTTACAAACTCTTTTTTTTGAAACTGTGAGAAAATCAGTGCCAAATTGGAGCAGAGAGGAGCTAGAAATTGCAAAAGGGTTAATTATTTAAAACTCATATTACATTGAATTAAAATTATTGATTTAAAGCAATGATTTCTAAGAATTTCTGACTGGTTTCAGAAGTGGTCTGAGAGGTCATGTTGACGTTGAAAAACATAAAGCTTTTTTTCATGGTTTTATTTAGTAGGCCTGAATACGAATGTCTTTTTTTCTTCTTCTTCTTTTGAAAACAGTTTATTAATGAAGGCAATAAAAATGGGAACTTCACACCATGGCTGATAGCTGTGAGCTAACAAAGCCCTAACTGTCAGCTATTGCCAGGAAATTCACAACAGTTGTTTTGCTTGGGTTTGTTTGGGGTTTTTTGGGTTTATTTTTTTTGTTTTTATTTTGTTTTTGTTTTTTTGGGTTTTTTGTGCTATGTATTTTTTCCTATATTTTATGTCATCAGCTTTTTGAAAGGAGAGAAAAATTACTAGCTAGTTTTTCCTCGTTGTCAATGTAACTTGGGCAGGGGCTAAGGAGCTTCAATAAGGATTAAACCTGGAAATGTGGTGGCTTGGCTTTTGTGGTCTCCTGGTTCTCATATTCCTCAGTGTCCCTGTTATTTTCTTCTGTGCATCCTCATTAAAGAAAAAAAACTAAAGAGAAAATCTTTCTAGTTTTCCCTAGAAATATGCATCTCTAATGGATGAAAAATTTAGCTGGATGTAGCCACTGAGATGATGATTAATAAAATGCATATCAATGCTAATATATGAATAAAGTTAGGCAGAAAATTAATATCATGTTATTGATGATAACAAGGTACAAGATAAGATTTTCAGTCAGCTTGCAGTGCAAGTAAGTAGTACCTCATACATATATCTTCCTGAACAATACAAGGGTTAAAAGTATTTTCAATAACATTCAAGCACTGCAGAATTTCTAAAATTAAATCGTTGTTATTCAGGGCAATAATCTTGCTCGTCCTTTATTAACCTTTCTTCACACAAATGCATGTCATTAAAAGATGAATTCTATTCTTAATTATTTCAGTTTGTTGAATATAAAATGACTTTCTGATATTAGGAGAACACTTAGGACAAATAGATTTTTAAAATTTTGTTTTTAGTGTGTTGCTTTTTAAACTCTTCTGAAGTTTTATGATTTTTTTTCTAAAATAAGGGCAGATGGCAGTGAGGAGCATAAGTTCAGGTTTTGGGTTTTTACATGGTAGGGTTACAATAAAGGATAGTCAGAAACTTGGGTATCCGTCATCATAACCTTATAATTTACTATCTCAGTTACCCATGTACAATATCTTTTAATTAATTATTTTTATTTAAACCTGCTTCTCTTACATTATGTTGCATTGTGTGGTTCCAGACTCTTTGTGTTATTAGATGGCTTTAGGGATCATTCTACCTCAGAAAATATTTCAGTAGACGTGGTGTACAGTAAGCAGCAGAACAGTGTTTGTTATCCATCCTGCAGGAAATTGAGAGTATCTGATTAAGCTGACTAGCAAGTATCAAGTAACTGGCACATCTCCTCTTGCATTTCATTCATTCAGTTGTAGTGTGGGTAATAGAAATCTATGCTGTGCCATTTTTCTTCTCTGATGCCATTTTGGTTTTTTCAATGGACCTGGAGTAGTGTTTCACCTATTTATATGTTGTAAATAATTTACAATGCACCGTCAGCTTGGGAAATTGATTCTGTTTATTTATGTTGGACTTCAGCTGTAGGTCTTTATCTCTTTTTGTGATGCAGTTCTGTATGTATTTTGTCTTGTGATAGCAGATGGATAGCTCTTATGCTTTATGTAAATGACTGTAAAATATTAATGTAATGCCAGTAATACTTTCCTTATTAAAACTGTGAATTGCTTATTGAAGTTCTTTGTGAACTTTAACACAAGTTATTCCTGGGGAAAGCAGTGTAACAGAACTTTTGAGTTATAAACTCATAGCAAAGTACTTCTAGGCATACAGTCTAATTATATAGTCATAATCACACCACAGAGTCATAGAATAACAGTAACTATATAATGATTTGGTTTTATCTCAACAAATACCTTATAGAGTCATATTTCTTTTCCAGACTTCAACATGTACTGCCCATGTAGTGTATTCCAGAATAGCACAAAGTTTGCTGACAAAGGAGAACAGGGCTCTGTGCTGGTAGTGCTCCTTTAGACCTGCCAGCAGTATTCAGTACTTCTGGACATGAAGCCTTTTAGGCTAATCTTTGTTCTTCAGTTGCCTTAGAGTAAATAGCCTTATGATGAATTAATTTCACTGTCTTTCTCTAAAGATGCATCAGACACCAGTTGTTCCTCATTTGCACTTTTCTGGGGTGCTGGTTTTTTTCCTCATTCGCACTTTTCTGGGGTGCTGGGCTGTTTTTCGTCTTCTGAAAGCACCAATAAAGGAGATAATAAGCTGATTTTGACTGAGTTTCAGAATGTTTTTGAAATTAATGTTCATGATTAGCAAATCTTCATGGCACAGTCACAGCTTTCTTATTTTGTAGTTTGTTTGGCTTGACAAACCATATTAATTTACTGAGGAGATTATCATAGCTGGCTGTTAAATGATCTGCGTTACAGCAGTTGGGATTACTCTCACGACTCTTTTAGGAATTCTGCCCCTTTCATTGTAAGATACTACGAAAGAGCTTGGATTTTTACTGTATTTGGACTACAAGCTCCACCAGCAAAGTTGTTACTCACTGCTGCCAGAAGAGCTGTGGCTTGGGCCATATTTCAGAGAAAGTGTTTCACCTCCTTGGGATGTCTATTTACTGGAGGAAGAAATACTGTTCCCACTTGCCTCAGTAAATTCCAGGCAGGAGGATTCTTTCTGCAAAGAACACAAATTGGTGATAAATAATATTTATGTGGGATTTTCTGTTTGTTTTTAGTGGTAACCTTTTTAATTGCAAAAAAAAAAAGTGGAGGGAATTCCATTTTCCTAGAGCAGAGCTGGCATCAAGTGAGGGGGTTTCTGTGCTCCCTGTTAAAAGCCTTTTCATAGCTAGCAATTTTCTTTCTCAAAGCCACCTATCTCTACATGATTTTGTAACCATTTGCTTTGGTGTCTGTATCTGCTGAGACCACTCTCTTCACCAAACTAAAAAATACTGGCTTCCTTTCATAAACTTCCGCTCTCCATGAAGGTCCTCATGGGCGTGATTTATTATTATTTTTGTACATGGCATTTGTTTTGAACTGCAGAATTAGTTTCAACAGTCTTTTTGAAAAACGTTTTAGGAAGTTTTATACCTATTTCTTATAAATGGTATAGAATAGATACATGTGATAACCACTGGTTTCCAAAACAATTCACTGAAGACTTTTAAAGTATGACTGAAAATGGCAATGAGGTGTTATCCCAGTTTTGAGACAGTAGTTACAATTATTCAAACCAGCTTTTATCTGTGCTCACACAAAGTCCTGCTAGCTTTTGGTCTGTTAAAATATTAGATGGTTATG